TGTTGATTGTGTGAGCGCATGCTTGTGGTACTTTTGGGGATATTTAAGAGAGTATTCAGCGGCGGTCTCATATGGTGAGTCTGGGTTGAGGATTGTGGTGTTATGGAGGGGAGAAGTATCAATTTGAAGGTAATTTAGAAGGAACTCGGATAGATAGGACATCTTGGTAGCAGGTTGGATTGGCATGGTAATGGGTCTGATTAGTTCTTTGGGTGTGTATGAGGTAATGAGTTTTACAGGTATTTTCTGGCAATGTCCTTGGGTTTTTGGTGGTCTGCGTAGCTTGGTTGAGTTAGAAGGATTCAGTCCTGACGGATTGATTTTGTGCCACTGGGGTTCAGAGAGAGTTCTTGATGGTTTTGAGAATAACTCTTGGCACGTTCGAGGACGAACGTATGTTTAAGTGGGGGAGATTGTAACGATCCAACCGGTTGTTTTAAGAATTTACACTCCTTTCAACTATTTGAGGTCTTGCATAACTTCCTATGAGGTATTATGACTTGTGTAAATTATCTGTTTTGGTTTTAAGGTATTTCGGAGTTAGCTTGGAAGAATGAATTTCATGTTGGAAGCTTAAGTTGAAATAGTTGACCGGATGTCGACTTATGTGTAAATGATCTCGGATTTAAATTCTGATGGTGCCGTTAGCTCCGTTAGGTGATTTTCGACTTAGGAGTGCGTCCGGAATGTGATTTGGAGGTCCGTGGTAGAATTAGACTTGAATTGGCGAAATTGGAAATTTGGCGATTTCGGTCGGCAGTGGAAACAAAATTTGATATCGGGGTCGGAATGGAATTCTGGAAGTTGGAGTAGGTTCGTAGTGTCATCTGTGATGTGTGTTCAAAATTTGAGGTCATTCGGACGTGGTTTGGTTGGTTTCGGCATCTGGTGCCGAATTTGGAAATTTAGAAGTTCTTAGGCTTGAATCTGAGTGTAATTTGATGATTTGATGTTGTTTCGAGTGATTCGAAGGTTAGATTAAGTTGGTATGTTGATATATGACTTGTTGGTATTTTTGGTTGAGGTCCCGAGGGGCTCGGGATAATTTCGGATGGGTATCGGGGAGTTTGGAAGTTGGAAAAGGCAGCTGGAGCTGCTATTCTGGTGTGTCCGCGCCTGCGGATTGGGAACCGCAGGTGCGATGATCGCAGGTGCGTGGGAGGCTCGCAGATGCAGAGATGGTCGCAAATGCGAAGAGTGGATCGCACCTGCGGGCTCGCAGGTGCGAAGTCTGGCCAGTTAAGTTGAATGCGCAGGTGCGCACCGGAGTCCGCAGATGCGGAAGTGCAGGTGCGAGAAAGGGTTCGCATGTGCGGAATCCCTGGGGCAGACCGTATATATCTCACTTCGCAAATTTTGGTGCGTTCTTCACCATTTCTATTCGGTTTTTGGAGCTTTTGGGAGAGATTTGAAGAGGGAATCAAGGGGGTTTCGTAGAGGTAAGTTACTTGACCCCTAATACTTGTATATATGATGATTTTTCGTTGTTTAATCATGGTAATTAGTGAAAATGAGGGGTTAGGGCTTGGAAATTTTGGAAATTAATTTAAGGATTTGAGGGACCAAACGGAGTTCGATTTATGGTTAGACTCGGGCGAGGACAAGGTTTATTATTCTGCCATTTTTGACTAATTTCGAGATGTGGGCCCGGGGGTCGGGTTTTGGTTGGTTTCGGATTTTTGGCATATTTTGTAGTTTTTCTTGTGGAAAATATTCCATTAGCGTATATTGATGGTGTTGTACTGATTGTGATTAGATTCAGAGCATTTGGAGACCGGGTCCAGAGACGAGGGCATCCCGGAGTAGGATGTTTACGTTGTTAAGGTAAGTAACAGTTTTAACTCTTGCTTTGAGGGTATAAACCCGGAGATTTGACATCACGTGATTGTTTGGAAGTGATACCCACGCTAGGTGACGAGCGTGTGGGTGTGCACCGCGAGTGATTGAGGCTTGGTCTGTCCCTTGAGGCTGTGAGGCCTAATTGGCTATTATCTGTGGTTATGTGTTTCTTTGTTGTTGAACTTGTTTGCCTTCATGTTAGAGATCATGCTTAGGCTTTAATTCATGCTCACATTATTTGTACTGAGTCATAGAAATTATTGTACATGTTACCTTAGTCTCTATTATTTGCTAATATGCGGTGGTACTTGATGTGGGTTGTGTTCCCTTATTTGTTGGTGATGATGAGGCTAGTGAGGTAGATGATTGAGTGAGGCTGAGGGCCTGGTTGTGAGAATATTAATACCATAGCGCGTGAGTTGTCCGCGTAGCACGAGAGTTGACCGTGCGGGTCCAGGTATTAATACCATAGCGCGTGAGTTGTCCGTGCTTAGCGCTTGGACTTTGGGAGCCCCTCCAGAGTCTGTACACACCCCTAGTGAGTGCAGAGTGTTGAGTGTTTTGAGTATTGAGTGCTGAGTACGAGTGATGAGTGATGGAGTGACACTGATGTGAGGTTGTATTTATTTGTGTTGTTGCTGCATTTATCTGTTAAACTTCTTTGTGGCATTTACTAAGTTATGGAATTTACCCATTTATTTCTGTTTATTTTTAAATTGTGAAAAATAAATAATTGGGCTGTTTTACTTAGCTCGTCACTATTTCTCAGTTCCTTAGTTATTTCTGTTACTTGCTGAGGTGGTTGTACTCATGCTACACCCTGCACTTTATGTGCAGATTCAGGTGAGTTAAAGCGCGACGATCGTTGAATTCAGGCCGGCTATCTGTGGAGATTGCAAGGTAGCTGCTAGCGTCCGCAGGACCTCGTTACTCCTTTTATCATTTCTTCTTTTGGATTGTATTGACCGTTAGACAGTTTCATTTCTTAGTTCATAGATTTAGACGCTCATGACTTAGTGACACCCCGATGTTTGGGGCTCGTTTCCGTATTTTGTATAATTATATTTAGAGTTGATTTAGTTTATGAAAAATTCAAATATTGAAATGTTTTATTAAATTCTTATAATCGGTTTAGTAGAAATATTTTGGGAAGTAGGTTTGCCTTGTAACACGATAGGCGCCATCACGACCATAGTTAGATTTTGGATCGTGACAGTATCCTATAGAATGATGGTTATATTTTTTGAAATCTCTCATTGGTAATAGGGCTTGTCCAGAAGGTTCCATTGCAGAGGGTTACCTTGGAAATGAATGTATGACCTTATGTTCAAGGTATCTGCATAGAATCGACACAAAGTTTAATCGGCCAGAACGAAATTATGATGGTGGTTTAAAAAATTCTGATGGAGGTTTATCTTTACTTTGTAAATCTGGTAAAACTTTAGGAGCTCCAAAACATCATGATCTTGAAGCAGATGAATTGGAGCAAGCACATATATACATACTGAAGAATTGTGATGAAGTTCTACCATTTCTAGAGTATGAAATTTTTCCTTCATATCATATTTTGTTTTCCTTGTTTCGTGTAGGATTATTTCTCCTTTATGTATGACATTTGTGGTTCGATTAAAATTTGTAGAGAGTTTGCACAAATTCATGTAGATTTTACTCAACACTTGTCTTATACAGAATGGAACTGACAATTTATCGAATGGTTTAAAGATAGGGTGAGTAATATATACATATCAAATTTGAAAATCAAATATTATATTGCTCATTCTAAAGTAATTAACTTTATCTCGTTGATAGGTTGCACAATTATATAAAGGAGATGATAGTAAGCTCATGGAAGATCTCCTTGCACTTTCACGTGGTCCTACCCAATATGTATTACATTATAATGGCTACATTGTTAATGGATATAGATTTCATGTAGAAGATTATGATAAACATTTAAGGACTCAAAATTGTGGTGTGGTTGTTGTCGATGAGACTGGTGAACATAGTGAGAATATTGATTACTATGGAGTTTTAACTGATGTTCTTGAATTGCAATTCACCGGAAGAAGAGTGATTTTATTTCAATGTAATTGGTTTGATGCGTATGATAAAAAGAAAGGAATTAAAACAGATGAATATGGCATTGTCAGTGTTAATTGGGAATGGTTTTTGAAAACAAATGAGCCTTTTGTATTAGCAGACCAGGCACATCAAGTATTTTATGCTAATAATAATTCCAATAAGGGTTGGCGTGTAGCAAGAAAGACGCAACCTCGTGATTCCTATTAGATTTTGCAACAAATGGATGGTGATGTTGCAGATTTAAAAAATCCTACACAAAATAAACGAAAAAGAACAACTGAGGTAAGTATCTCTTTATGCCATTACCATATTCATATTGGTATGCATTCTGATTACATGATCTTTTTGTTAGTACATTATTGTTATAATGTCTTAATTTGTTTTTTGTAGGTTTGATATGAAACCTTCAAAGAATGAAAATGAGGTGGCATCCATTGTGAAAGCTACTACCAAATATGCATTTGTTGCACCAGGTGCTATAGGGAAGGGACGAGGGAGAGGGCTTAAATCTATATACTCTTTAGGGGTATCTGGACCAGATATTCTATCCTCTCAATCTACTGATCAAGTTATGCAGTACAACCAAATTGTTGAAACGAGTATGGTTTCTCAAATTTATTTTGTTATCAATTTGTACACTTAAATTTTAGTGCTAAACTTTTTACTAATATGATTTTCTTATACCAGGTGCAGTAGCGAAGGGACGAGGGCGAGGGCTTAGATCTCTGTGTTCTTTAGGGGTATCTGGACTGGGACCAACGAATAAAAATTCATTGGTTCTTAAGAAAGGGCATGTGCAAACTGATATTCCATCTTTTTCATCTATTGATGATGTTATGCAATACATCCAACAAAATTCAATGAGTAGGGTTTCTAAAAGCTATTATCTTTTAGAATAAAAATTGTAATTATTTAGATTTGATTTTCTTTACTAATGTGATTTCCTGCACCAGGTGCTCCAGGGAAGGGACGAGGGCAAGAACTTAGATCTATGTGCTCCCTTGAAGAGTATGAAAATGAGGAGCGATCCTTCCATCAGAATGCTCATTATGCCAGTCAAAGTATGTCAAGACCTTCTAAGAGCACCATGTTTGCTGCTCAAGGATTGCGAACAATGAATAAAAACCCTTTGGTTCATGACAAAGAGAATATGAAAACTAATATTATGTTTTCTCCTTCTGATGATCAAGTTATGCAATCCACCCAAAAAGTGGAAACAAGTATGTGTTTTTTTCGATTGAGACATTTAGTATAGTTGTGAATGTAGATTGTTTAGTTGATGATAATGACTGCTTGGTGTATGTCTTTTTCTGTATTCTGTTGTTTGCGTCATGCTTTTACATCACTCTGGACTGGCCAAAATTTGTCGTACATGACTGTTAGGATGCCAAATGATCCACATTCCTATGAATGATATAATATATGTTGACCAATGGTTTCTCAGTTCATTTTAGGAGTTACTTCCTATTGGCATGTTGAGGATCAGAACCAGAATAGAGAAAAATGGTCTCGTTCACTTCTCATCTGTCTATGTGGACAACACCAAAGATATGTCAAAATTGTTCATTGATAGATGGTTTTTATAGTTCTTGTACTTAGTAATTATATTGCTTTGCTAAGGTGTTGAGCACATGATATCTTGTGGTTGTCCTAGTTATTAAGATAGTTATAGGCTATGCATCAGGTTAAAGGTTGTAGGATCTATTTAGTACACTCACTGACCTTTTTCCATAACAATGCTTTCCTATTTCAAGTGTTGGTGTTGAAAATGTTCTGTAGTAAAATAATGAAAACAGCTTGCGGCGTAATATGCTGTAACTTCTCAATTCAATTCTTTTTTTTAACTGAATTTACTTTAATACCAAACTTTTAGTAATATGATTTCTTACATCAGGTACTCTAGGGAAAGGACGAAGGCGAGAGCTTAGATCTATGTGCTCCTTTGAAGAGTCTGAAAATGAGGAACGATCCTTTCATCATAATGCTCATTATGCAAGTCAAAGCATGTCAAGACCTTCTAAGAGTACAAGATTAGACACAACCATGTTTTCCGCTCAAGGAGTGCAAACAAAGAATAAAAATTCTTTGGTTCATGACAAAGAGAATATGCAATCTGATATTCCATTTTCTCCTTCTATTGATCAAGTTATGCAGTCCACCCAAACAGTTGAAACAAGTATGGTTTCTCAAATCTATTTGATCCCATGTTTATCATTTTTATAATATTTTCTGATATTTATAAATTAAGCAAATGTAGGTTCATGTGCTGCTGAAAAGGTAAAAAAGGTTCGAGGAAGTAACAAATGCAGAGAAGTTGCATCACTTGAAGTTGGAGAGAAGCTAAAAGTAATATTTTACAATAATCGAACAGTTGGAAAGAATAGCAATCTATTTTCGAGGCACTTGGGAAAAATAGTTCATGACTGTAATATATGTCCACTGGGAGTATCATCGTGGGATCGCATTAAGGAGGAAAAGTTAAATCACATGTGGGCAGCTGTTACGGCAACTGGATGGATTATTCTAGTTTATTCTTTGATTCCTCTTTTCTTACCATTCTTGGAACTTAATTATTGAGTTCTTATCACGTTTTTCACTAAAATATACTCCCTCCGTTCTAATTTATGTGAACCTGTTTGACTGGGCACGGAGTTTAAGAAAAAATGAAGACTTTTGAAATTTATGGTCCTACGCAATTCAAAAAGGGCCCAGAGTATTTGTGTGGTTATAAAAGCTTCTCATTAAGGGTAGAATTATAACTTTAAGCAAAATTATTTTCAAATTTAGAAAGGGGTTATTCTTTTTGGAACGGACCAAAAAGGAAATAGGTTCACATAAACTGAAACGGAGGTAGTAATAAAATTGTGAGTTCTATGTTTTAAATTCACAAAAATGAAATAAAGCTAATTTTTTTTTAAAAAATAATTTGGCTAGATCATTTCAAGACTGATTGTAGAACTATATTTTCTTCTATCACATGGAGTTTCTGTGATGATATTGGCTATCAACCTATATTATCCTCATGATATATTGCAGGATAAATTTGAGAGTGATGACATGGATATTCATCGCAATCATATTTTGGGATGGATGAAAGAGTTATGGAACAAATGGAGAGGACAATTGCATGCAAAGTATGTACAAGAGGCTCTTAAGCATGTGCCCAAGGGGGTAGACAAGAAACAATGGGAGTGGTTGGTAAAGGAATATTTTTCTACTGAAAGTTTTCAGGTTTGACATAATACTTAGTTGTGTAATTTTATTTTATACTATTATCTTTTAACTGACAATTTATTTATAGCATTTGAATTTAATATTGTTACTCAAATATAGGCGAGAAGTAACAGGAATGCAGCAAATAGAACTAAGTTGAAGATGCTTCATCATATTGGTAGCAAGCCAATTAGAGAGATTATTTATCAAAAGGTGTTATCATCAAATCTATTTTTTCTTAATATTGACGAGACATTATTTGACATATGTACTTTTATGTAAAGGGCGAGAAAGATGGCAAACCAATAGATTTGGCAACTATTTTCTTCGAGACTCGCAAGAAGAAGAACATACTTGTTGATTCTGAAACAATCGAGAAACATGTGCGTTTGGTTAATTGAACAAGTTCATTACTTTTAGTTATTATGGGATCTAACAAAAATCTCTCTATATACTTTGTAGGCTCAAATCAAGGAATTGGTGCAGTCCGAACCGTCACTTCCTAGCATAGAGATTGTAGAAAAATGCTCTGGACCTCAAAGTCATAGTCATGTATTTGGCTTCGGGGGTGGGTTAAAGGCGAAAGATTTGAAAGGTGGAACTTCCTCAAAAGCTGAATTATTGGCTAAGCTATGTTCAACTCAAAACGAAAATCAGTCTTTGAAGGATCATTTGTCTAACTTTGAAAATGAGATGAAAGAACTGAAGCAATTATTTTTAGCGGAACAGCCTCCATTTCAGGAGAATGACTATTCGGATCCTTGATGATACCAAGTGAGTAACAACTTACCCGAAACATCAATTTATTTTGTTTATTTAAGTGTATGTTATTATATATCATTTGCGGAATTTATATCTTCCATTGATTACGAGTTTGCTGGTTGTGCATAGGGAAACAGTTTGCAATAATAATTATAATTATATGCAACAATATTTGCTAAACATTGGTTGAAGGAGAGATTCCCCCCTTCAACTCTTAAAAACAACTCAAAGAAGGAAAAGGAAGTAGGTTGAAACTACTACTAGCAATCAACTGTACAGTTAACAAGGATCAATATCCATCAGTCTCTAATATCAAATCTCGCTACTCCGTCAACCAAGGTCTGAACACCCATAGTCTAATTGCTTTTACTCCTCTAGAATTAAGTGTCGGACGTCTAAACCATGCACCGAGAAATCCTCTTTTTGAGTCATTCACTACCTCGACACATAAATAAGCACCCTGCCATTACAATAACACTACGCGATAATAATGCATGAACATCATAATAATATGTGCATAGCCTCAAAACCATAGGCAATAATAACATTGGACTGAAACGTATGAATATCTTCCACAAGGCGATGATAATAGCCTACTTGAATACGCAAGAAGGAATATCATGTACCATACTTGCAGTACCACTACAACTCTTCGATGCCCAATTGATAACAAGAGCTCAACATCGTATAAGAAAGAGTAGGAAGAAAATGAAGGCATAAGCTTTAATAGAATCAAATTGTACGACGAAGAATCAAGAAGGGAAGTGCTCCTAGCAGCCCTATGGCATCTCGAAGATAAGTACAGATGTATCCGTACCAATTCGCAAGACTCTACTAGACTCGCTCATGACTTGTGAGACCCAAGTGAACCTAGAGCTCTGATACCAAGCTGTCACTACCCAAAACCCACTGTAGGTCGTGATGGCACCCAACGTCGTTGTTAGGCAAGCCAACGATGAACTACCAACTTAATTGTTCATTTTATTATTTTTGAAATCATGAATCTTATTAGTTAGAGAGATTGATGCATCAAAAATCGTAGATACGTATGATTTAAGTCAAATATAAAGTAAAATTGTCTTAATGGTAAGCAAAATCATAAACAAAATCTAGAACACCCTAAAACCTGGTGTCACAGGTGCATGAGCATCTACTAGGAAGTGCAATAACAATACAACAACTGTCTAGAGTACAAGATAGATAGGATAATGTAAATTATTATGATGGAGACTCTGTATGTTGCGGATCGTAACATGGGATGCAGTTCACCGTAAAGTCCCCGCAGTAGTTGCGCCTAAAAGACCACCAGAAATATATACCTGCACAATAAATGCAGAAGTATAGTATAAGTACGTAAATCAATGCGTACCCAGTAAGTATCTAGCCCAACCCCAGAGAAGTAGTTACGAAGGGTCGACATTGACACTTACTAATGGTCCAATAAATCAAGTACAATAGAAAGTAAAAAGTATAAAGCATGGTAATTAAACAATGAAAGCAAATATAAGTACATGATACGATCCTCAGCTGAACAGTAAACACAAGTCCTCAAATATTAGTTACCTCCTCAAATTGAGTATATAATGTGGTCCCCACCAGATAGGTCATCACAACTCAAGTCAGGAAAACTCACGGATACACTGGTTCCTTGTCAAATATTACGCACGATTCTGCTGAGGCGAACGACCCTATCCTATAAGAGTATTTCATGAAGTTGCCAAGGCGAACGCCCCGATCCCTTAAGAGTGTGTTACATGATACTGCTGAGGCGAACGACCTGATCCCATAAGAGTATTTCATGAAGTTGTCGAGGCGAATGGCCTGATCCTATTAGAATATAAAGCTTTTATTGGTATTTGACCCCACTCACAAATATACGTGTGAGTTATGATATTCAAGAAATATTTTCGATCGATACGCACAACGTGGAAGAAATCAGTAAGGGGAGTACAATTTCTACAACTGAACAAGTAGCGAGTCCATTATTTTACGCGAATCTAGTCTCAGGTCATAACGTGAATTAAAGCAATTGAACATGCAAGAATAACGCAAATAATACATATAAAGCATGGCGTGAGTCTAAGTCTACCCGGAAATAATCAGGAATTCTAGAATACGCACGGACGCTCGTCACCTCATATGCGTGTAGCTCCCACAACATGTAGCACATAACAAATATAATACCTAGGGGGTAATTTCCCCCTCATAAGGTTAGACAGGAGACTTACCTTACTCCGAAATTCGATAACCGGCTTCAACGCCTTTCTAACACCTCAAACCGATGCCAAACGATCCGAAACTAATCAAAGAACGTGCAAACCAATCAAAATATACTACAATACTCATAATTTAACAAGTAGAAATAAATTCCCAGTTCCTCAAGTAAAGTCAACAAAGTCAACACCAGGGCCCGCGCGTCCAGATTTTGAAAATTATCAAAAATAATTATTACCCATAACTTATATAGTTTATATTCCGAAAATCATCCAATTTCGTCCATGAATTGACCCTCAAATTTAGGATTTACCATCTCATAACTTTGGGGCTCAAAACCCCAATTTCTACAATCCAAACACGGATAAAAATAATAACCAACGAAAATAATCATGGTAAAAAATCACAATAAAGGTCATATATTTACCCCCTTGCGGAGACGAGAACAACGCCGCAAAAATCACCTCACACGGAGCTCTAGAACTCAAGATATGCTCAAAACACTAAAATGCTCGGTCTATCCATTTAAAACACTGTCGTGGCGAATTTTGTTCTTTGCTTTCGCGGGACACCATCGCATTCGTGAAGAGCAATTTTTTGCGTTGACCGGTCAACCAAAATTTCCTTCTTCTCGTTTGCGGGACCTCCCTCGCGTTCGCGAAGAAAAAGGTCCGTACCAGAAACCAGCAATCTTTCTCGACACGGAAATAGGCATAACTCTCTCATACGACCTCGAAATACAAAGATTCTTGTTGCTATGGTTCCGTAATTATGATACAGGTCTAATGGTTCAATAAAACCACAAATCCAAGGTAGTTTTATCAATATGGTACCCATTATGTCCAAAGAAATGACATTGAAACATCAAATAAGAGCGCGATATAACCCAAACACATCTGAAACACACCTGAGGCCCCCAGAACACCGTCCAATTATACAAATCAGTCCTAAAACATAACACGAACCTACTAGAGGCCTCAAATCACACGAAACAATATTAAAACCATGAATTGACGATCAAATCCTCCTTTTAACTTTCAAACTTCGACGAACGCGTTCGAATTACACTTAAAACATTTCGGAATGAAGCCAAACTTTACGTACAAGTCATGAACCACGATACGAACATATTCCAAGGCTCAGAACCCCAATCGTGCATCGATAACACCAAAGTTCACTTCAAACCAAACTTAGGAAATTCTAAAACCTTCGAATTGCCAACTTTTCACAAGAAGCATTGAAATGCTTCCGGACCACCCGATACTCAACCCGAACATACGCCCAAGTCCGAAATCATCATACGAACTTATTAGAACCTTTAAATCCTAAATTCGAGGCCGTTTACTCAAAGTCAAATGTGGGTCAACTCTACCAACTTAAAGCTTCCAAATTGAGAATTTTCCATCTGAATCAACTCCGAACCTCCCAAAATTCAATTCTGACAACGCGTACAAGTCATAAAACATGAAGTGAAACTACTCAAGGTCTCAAACCTCTGAACGACATGCTAGAAGTCAAAACAACCAATCGGTTCGTTACATTCTCACCAACTTAAACATACGTTCGTCCTCGAACATACCAAGAACCGCTCCAGAGTTGCCCAAAATCACTGTTTAACACCCCGTGCACCTACCCATGCCACCATAACCCATATCAGCACATTTGCTCAGGCCAGACTGGAGATTCTTCCTGCTAACTTAGCCCACAAGCCTTAGAACAAAATTCTAACATCCAAAATTCCTCTAAGAGGTCTGATTCTAACATACGAACATTGTATCAATCTTAACCCGTTGTATCAAATACGAACATGCACCCATGCTGAAATCACACAATGCATCGCATAATTTATATGCCCATAATAACATCCTCCAACCGTAAAAGCTGCAAATTCATTATTCTGATGCCCGTATTATACCTCATAACACGCATAAGCCCTGATCCAGCCCTCACGATATTGCAACGATGAGAGCAACCCATAGAAGCTCATAACCACCTGCCAAATCAATAACTCACGGAGTCACTCTGCTTGACAAGAACCATTACCTGATTCTAAACTAACTAGTGGAATTTCTCTTTAATATATCTTACAAGCAGTCGTACAATTCGAAACAAACCCCACATAGTCCACAACCAAAGGAATAGAGCTCCCCTCAGGCGTAAACTCTCCTATTAGCGACAGTACCAGAATCTCCGTACCCAATTTCGATCCCTAACAATCAAATGACTAACATGTCACACTTATACGATCTTCCCATGGGATATACTCCCACAACCTTCCGCACCAGGCAGCAAAATCTGAACATCAATGGCCATCGATCATGTTATTTCTACAGTACTAGCCAAGCATCCGCATTTCAATACCCTACACTCCTACCATAAAACAGACCATCCTCAGGGTGCCTGAAAATAGTGCCAGCACACTCTGAACATCTGAAATCTTTCCCCAGTTATTCCGAGCTCGTGACATTCATGTTAAAACTGGATCGCAACCTTGATCCTCAAATTCCAATTCCATATCGCTCACTGCAC